AATGAACTTGTCCTCGAAATCTCTTAGATCCAACCAGAAAGCCAACAAGATCCACATCTGAAATGTTCTGGATCCGTTCCGAAAAAATCAACCAGGCCTGTCGCTGATAACTAACGGAAAATCCTATCAGGCCTACGCCATAAGTCAAACTGAATTAGTCCTGCAATTAACTGGACACTACCCCAAGAAACCCTCCTCAAGGCTTAAGAATCCTTTCCTGAATTGCCCTATTACAGGGCTGGTAGTGAATCACTTTTTAGTGACTTGGTCACTTTTTTCAAGCCATCCACTAAAAAGTCTCTTTTTTTTTAAGGTAAAGACACTAAAGTCACTTTTTCTTGTAATCAGTCACTATTTTCAACTATTTTAGCGTGAATTTATTTCAATATTGATCATTATTTGTTTTGTGACGTTCAATCGTCTTTCTCTATCTACAGGCTGTCTACTCATTTTCTAAATAAAATTTCCTGAGTTTTCTAGGTTTTTCCAGAACTTTAACGGATAAATTCCAGGCTTATAATAAGAAAGATATTTTTTAAATGCGTTCAAAATATGCTGTTTCTGAAAGATAAAAAACAACAGTAATTAACCTAAACGTTTTTAGGACATGGCAATGAGTTTTAAAGAAATAACTTCATTCAATTGAATGTTGAAGTTTAGCACTTACTTAATTTCTCCACTTTAATAAAGTTAAAAAAAAAACTAATTAATTTGAGTAAGTCCAAGATCAAAAAATATTCAATAATTTGTAGTTTCGTATTTCATGTACAAGTTCAAGATATTGAAAATTTTCAAAGTGCCTGAATTAAGGAAAACATTAAATGATTTATTTTAGTTCGTAATTAACTTTATGTAAGATTAGAGATCTTCATTGCAGTCCCATTTACTTCACAACAATTGTAGGAACTTTAAAGAAGTTCTGAGGAATGAAAGGAAATGATGAAAATTTCAGTGAAGCTCCAAACTACGGTAACATAAGGGAAGTTAACACACTGAAATTATGGGAAACTTACTGGTGTTAAGCAAATTTGAGAATTATAGGAACCTTGTGCAAATTTTTAAGAAGTTCTAAGCACCTCAGAAAAGCTAGATCTAGAGATCTTTGGGGAATTTCAGATTTGGAGCAGTTTAAATATCTATAATCGTAAATTTAGAAAAATTGAGAATTCTTAATATGTTCCGAGAATTTCAGGGAAGTACGGAGAATTTATGAAAACTTCAGAAATATTTCAGGAACTTCACTGAAGTTCAAAGAAATTCAGGGAAATTTATTTTCAATAGAATTGAGAGCTTTAGGGAAGCTTCGGGAACATCAAGACCGATCAGAGCATCAAAGGACAGTTCAAATAATTTCAAGAAAATTGTAGAAACCTTGAAAAAGTTCTGGAAACTTCAGCAAAGCTCCGATAGAACTTCTGGAACGTGATAAAAATTATATGAACAAACGGAAAACGTGAGAGTATTTTAACTTTAACAAATGCGAAAATTTAGCTAAATTGATGAAAAAATGCGAGAACTTTTATTAAACTGCGATAAATATTTTCAAAAAATTCCAGAGAACTAAGAATTGAGATAGTGTAATGATATTCAGCGAAGTTCCGAGTACTTCCAGGACGATTAGATAGCTTCAGAATAATCCCATTAACTTAAGCAAATTTGCAGAGACTTAAAAGGAATTCCGTGGAATTCTGGGGTATTCCAAGAATTCTATGATTGATCCAGAAACATCAGGGAATTTTGAATATTTATATCAGAAAATTTGCCGGATTATTAACTTCAGGTAAGCATAGGTAAGTTCAGGGAGAATAAGTGAGCGTTTTTGATAATTAGAATACCTAAGGAAAATTGTCGAAACTTCAAGGCAAATCAATTAATTTCAGTTAAGTTGCGGGTTCTTAAAATATACTGATCTAAATTGGGCTATCTAGAGAACTTCAGAAAAATCATGAGAACTTCAGTGAAAATCAAAAAAATATATAAATTATTTTGTTCTTATTCCATGAAAATTGTGGGAGCATAAAAGTGCCCGAAAACCTCACAGAAGAAGGACAGTGGCCTACAGAAACATTTCGAGAATTTCATAGAAGGAACTTAAGGGGAGATCCGCGAACTTCAGGAATTTTTATGAACATTAGCAAAATGCGGGAGCATTTGAAAAAAGTTTACTAAGCTCCGAAAAATGGAGGAATTACAGGGAGAGTAGTGGGAAATTTAAAGCAGTTCCCAGATTTACAGATAACTTCAGAGACTTAAAATATTTAATTGAGGTCTTCGCATGAGTTCAGAAGTTTACTGAAGCTCAAACATTTTAAGGACGGTACCATTAAATTCAGCGCAGTACAACAAGCTTCACAAGAACTGTAAAAACGTTAGAGCAGTTTTAAGAATTTAAGAAAAGAACAGAGAACCTCAGAGCAGTTCCGTTAACATTAGAGAAGTCACATAAAGTTTAAAGAAGTTTATAGAACTTCAGCGTTAAACCTTTAGAAGAGATTCATGATCGTTAGAGGAAACTTTAGGAAGTCCTATAAAGTTCAGGGAAGTTTAAGAATAGTATTGTGAGCATCAGGCTAGTTTCTCAAACTACAAAAGAACTTCAAGGCAAATTCATTAACTTCAGGAAAAATTTGGGAAATTCTCAGAATAGTCCATTCCATATTCAATGGAAATTTCAATGAAGCTATCCTTCGAACTCTATTTTCTTTTAGTTTTCCTCGTAATTACATTGAAATTCTCCACATTAAGACACCCTTTGGAAAGATTGTCAGTATATTCATTGAATTCATTTCAGATTTCCTTTTGAATCTCACACCTTCCCTTGGAATTCTACTCACATTGAAAGTCTCCTTAAAATTATTGGCATTTCTACTCACAAATTCCTTAGATTTCTTCTCATAATTTGTTTTGTGAACTCTCCTGAATTTACTTTCCGAATTCCTTTGAAGATGTCCTGGAGTTATTCGCAGATTTAATTGTAATTAAATTATCCTCAGAGTGCCCATGGAATTTTCCTTTGAAGTTCACAGGAGTTGTGCTCCTCAGAAATTCCTATGAGTTTTCAATAAAATTTATTTTTAATTCAATTCAGGGTCACTTTTTGGTCACTGTTTTACAACTATATAACTAAGAAATTAGTCACTTATTTCTTCAACATGGTCACTAAAATCACTATTTTTGACAGCAGTGATCGCTACCAGCCCTGCTATTACACCGCTATACGTTTTCCTACAAGTTTCCTTGATCCGGTGAGTTCTATTCTGATGCCAAATGAACTCTCCCACGAAGTTCACAGACTTATGTATCCTAATCATCCCATACAAGAGACCAACGTGAAAGATTTCCATCCAGAGTAATAACTTGATTTCGTTTTTGAGGTCCGCCGCTCCTTGGGTCTGCATCAGCTGTGATGTTTTGTTGGATTACCACCAGCACTGAACTTTCTGTAATTTGCAATGACATGACATCGACGATGGAGCGCAGCATTCGAGAGTCAGTTGTGAGGCCACCAAACATGAATAAATTATATATACAGCGGGCAATGAATAGGTTGATGAAGATCCGCAGCTTACGAGTCTTCCTCGCTGATACGCTGTATGGTGATCATTATTGGTACATCGCCACTCTTTTTTCCAGTAGATGAAATTCCCAGACCTGAGATAGAACACATAACAAATAAGGATACTTCAAAAATCCTATTAAAAATCCTCCTTTTTCTGCAGAGAGTTTTGTTGTTGGCGAATTATGGATTTTTTTTTGGGATTTAGTTAGAAGCTGTATGACTTTGGAAACCAAAAATCTCAACTCATTAACCTCACCAAGGAAGGAACATCCCTCCAAATATGTATCTCGCTCACACAGGCAGGCATATCCCACCTGGGTTAATTATTTTACTTTCGTATTTCAACTAACTCACAGCTCTCTCTCTCTACTTTATTTCAATTTCGCAAACCCATATTCCACCCACTCACTCACTCCACAGCTCCGGGGGCTTACTTCGGCGTGAAACAGCGCGTCAACAATATGGCACACATGGTTGGTATAGGTAGGTATGTAGGTACCTATACTTTTCAATCAACACGATGCAAGTGGGTGTTTCCCCAATGTGGATGAAAAGCAGCAGTGACTGTTCGAAATTCCTTCTATGGGATGAATAAAAAAAATGTCAGCAACGGTCACAGTTTGCGCTGTTAAAAGTAGCCATGTCCCCTGCTCCGGTTCCGGCTAGTAGGGTTCATTCATAATGGTTGGACATCGATGGTCATCTAAAAGGCTTGTTTTTCACAGAATGGTAGAATGTTTTTTGGCTACGGTACCAACCAAGATAGGGAGGGGAACTCAAACCCTGCCAGGTGTGTGAGTGTGAGTGTATACTTGAATGTTGGTCGTACGACACGGTTCATTACATCATCGCTATCGCCATATGGGACGAAAGTATGTCCATAACGGCCGGTCACATGTACCGGTATCTTCTCCTTTTATGTAGACAATGCCGTGTCGATCGTGGGGGGACAAGTGGCAATTAAACTATTTAGGCACAGATATTAATCGATTCAAGAGCTCAACAAACTGATTTTGAATGGAATTCATGCAACAGCTGCGATTGCAAAGTTCTTTTAAATTATTCAGCTAGCTACAACTAAATAGGTACTGCACGAGACGAGAGAGTTTGTTCGGCAAACTTGTGCCAACGTTCCGAGTATGCCCTGGAACAAAAATCGATTTTTGCTGAGTGCACTCTTCCACTCCACGTGCTTTCCCACACAAACTTCAAACGCAAGAAGATGGTGGATCTTCTCTGACTCTCTGGCAAAGGACAAGTGAAACTCCCCTGCGGCTAATTCTTTCTAGCATGTTTATACACATTTTCACACATTTCGAAGGTACACTTAAAAGCATTATAAAAATGAAAGTTCCTGGAAAATAGGATGTCTTTCCCTTCTTAAACGAAAAAAAAACAACCAAACTAACGTTCAACCATTTTTCTATCTCTATCCTTGCAGAAATGGTGGAAGCAATGAAGAAGGTCGCTTCCATGGACGTCGAGCTCACAGTCGAGGAGAGGAATCTCCTGTCGGTCGCGTACAAGAATGTCATCGGTGCACGACGTGCCTCCTGGCGGATAATCTCCTCCATCGAACAGAAGGAAGAGAACAAGGTTGGAATTTCCACCGGACGACGACTGAACAACAATCGACCGATTCATACTCATTGATTTTGTTTGTATTTCATTTCTTCTCCAACCCCAATCGCAGGGCATCGAAGAGAAGCTGGAGATGATCAAAAACTACCGCTCACAGGTGGAGAAGGAACTGCGCGACATCTGTTCCGACATCCTGGAAGTGCTCGACAAGCATCTGATCCCGTGCGCGACGACCGGCGAGAGCAAGGTGTTCTACTACAAAATGAAGGGCGATTACCACCGCTATCTGGCCGAGTTCGCCACCGGTACCGACCGCAAGGACGCCGCCGAAAACTCCCTGGTCGCGTACAAGGCCGCCAGTGACATCGCAATGACTGACCTTCCCCCAACGCACCCAATCCGGCTGGGACTGGCACTCAACTTCTCAGTGAGTATTTTCGAGTTTTTGTTCGCCTATGGACTTGTACAGTTCAGAATCTAGACTTAAGGCACAGTCAAACAGACGTAACTCTTTAAATAAATTTGCTTTAATACTATCGTCACAGTGATCCGATGTCATAATATTTAAATTGAGCTTTAAATGCGTGAACGACAATTAAGGAGAAAGAGTAACGTCTGTTTGTCTGTGCTTCAGGCATATGGCAAAACAGTAGAAAAGCCCAAGATATTAGCATAACTTCACCCCTGGTCGATAGCAAAGTTAAGAGATCAAGTGTGTCCATTTCGACTCAGTAGATTGACGCTAGACTTCATCGATTTTGAGAACTCAATTCAATCGAGGGAAATAGAAGGCACACGCGTCTCGTATTGATTGACAGCTAATGCTAAACGCCCCGTTCTAACTCTTCTCCTTTCACCCCCTCCCGCCTTCGGCAGGTATTCTACTACGAAATCCTGAACTCGCCGGACCGTGCCTGCCGCCTAGCGAAAGCAGCATTCGACGATGCAATCGCCGAGCTCGACACCCTCAGCGAGGAAAGCTACAAAGATTCTACGCTAATCATGCAGCTGCTGCGGGACAACCTTACATTATGGACATCCGATATGCAGGGTGACGGTAAGTGTCAAATCGGTTATCCCTTCCTCCCAGCTGCATATCATGTTTCATCCAACCAACGGAAACCTTTCCAATCTACATATGATACGTTTATTTGTGAGCGTTTCACGTGTGCGCTCTGTAGGTCGTTATTTTCTGCCCACTTATCTACTGCCACCGACCTGTTGTGTGTTTAGATAAGTAGACACCTTCGCCGTTCTGGACCCCGAAAAGTATACCGAACAACGTAACGTGGCTGGTTCGGTCTGGCTGACGTCAAGCGCCACAGGTAGACATATATTACTTGCGTCAACCGAGAACCGCTCGGCCATGGCCACGACGACGCATGAATATATGATAACAAATTCGATAAACGGATGGACGCCACTTGCAATTACCTTCCTATCATGCTTTATATTACTTAATAATATAGAAACTCTTTGCTACGAGGCTACTACTGCCCCACATGGCTGCCGAACGTTACCTTTTTTCATGATCAATGTCAATTACCGGCTATGAAAAAAAGCGTAGAGTGCAGCTAAAGGAACAAGCGAATCGATTTACTGACACTGATAAAAGTAACTACCAGTAGCGCAGCAGAAGCTCTCATCGCGTGCTGTTGCCCAGCCGGAATAGATAATCCACGGGTAATTATTGTAATCCAAACAGGTACACTCTCGCGTTTGGAGCGAGCGCATGTGCCGAACCGCGTTCCACTCGGTACGGTTGGATGCATAGGTTTAGATGCTTACATAGGGGGAGGAATATGAATTTACATCGAAGGAAGGAAGATGACGTTGCCGACTGTGTGGAACCAACGATTACTCAATAAGTCAGGATTTTTTTTTTGTTTGAATTAGTTTGCGTTTTCCTCCCCCCCCTGATGTGTGATCGTGTGTGCGAACGAACACACAGTGCTTTAGTTTGTTGATTTAAGGTAATTGTTTAGTGCGCGTGAACGACGAGCTTGTTAGGCGCTGTGTAGTGATACCGTGTAATTAGTAGTGGGAGATAAGATAAGATCAAATAAGATGAATGAGAGGAAAATTGTTGCACCTATGGGTGGACTCCGGTTTGTCGTCAGGAATAAATGACATAGGATTTGAAATTTGGCAAGGTGTAGCGATGGACAACTTTCCATTATAATTCAAGTTCTCTCCAGTACGACTTCGGAATTCGTTGTCTTCCTTCGAATAAGTGTGTGTAAAAAATTCCACGACATTTGTTCGATTTGCTGCTTCGATAAGGTCAGCTATTCGGAAGAAGTAGATTGTCCTCTCCAGACAACCAGACATCAAACATAAAACTTTAGAGATTGTTGTGAAAGTATGTACACTAGGGTAGGTCAACTTAACAACGCCCTGCTCCCCATCGCTCTTTCGATTCGCAATTGTGCCAAATTTGAACGAATTTGGTTACGACCTGGCTTTGCAGGAAACGTTGGAAACATTGGAAACGGACCAAAACTGTTCAATTGCTTGTAAAAAAAAATCAAAAATCGCTCAATTTTTACCAAACCTGGAAATTAGATTGAGAAAACTATCCAAAACAACTACGTCGAAGACCGCAATCGGAATCTAATAGTGGTTTACCACCCATTGTAGCACGGAAACTTAGTCCGATAGCAGTGGGCTCTCTTCTCTGTTTGTCTTGATCAAGCTTAATAACATCTGACTGTCCTCAACATGTCGCTGTATGAAGGGCCAAAAACGGATTGGGTAGATCGATAGGCAAAGTCGCCTATACGCATCTACGGAACAATAAAGAATCTCCTTCCAGCAACTTGATCAGCCAATTGGTCAAAAAGACTTGGGAGCTTGTCAGGACGATGCCCCAATGAGTGGGGAGAAGAGCCTGCCCTTTATCCACGAAATGTTATCAACAGGGAGTTGGCATCCCCTCTCTCCCCGTCCAAATCGCTTCAATCGAGTGTCCTGTTGGACCGCACCTTCCCTTCTATATATGTTCAATGTATATACGAGTTGATTGCTATGATTATTGTCAATAATACTTAAATTTCGATGAAGATCGTGCTACTTACTTTAACTTTTTTGTGATACTCATCATCACAGAATCCAACCTTTAATCGTAGACCAGGTCCATCAACATTAAACCCGTTTCGAGAAGGGGCTCATGGTTAGTATTATCAAACAGTGTTACATGCAAACGAAAAAGATATAAAACCAGGATTAGTTTTTTAAAGTAATAGTCATCTGAATACCCAACTAACCATATCTCAGTGACATTGTCTCATTGTTAGGCACTCTACTCTGAAATCTGTGAAAGGGAATCTTGTATCATGTAGAACAAAACGTCCAATGTAACACTCATTGATTTATGCCATTGAGAAAAATCGTCCAATGTACAACTTGACTAGTCAAAACGTCCTATGTGTTTTTTATTCTATATTGTATTCAAAGTAAAATTGTGATTTTACCGTTTCTACTGAATTTTCAACGTTATTATTCACTGACTACATTAAAAGTAGTATTGCAAAATGTGTTGTTTCTAAACAGTTAAAATAAAAATCTGTCGAACTTCAGCTTCGATTTTCTCAAAATGGTGGATATGTTACATTGTTCTATTTGAAAAGTGATGCGAGACTTGTGTCAGGTTTTATTTGCCGTATGCGTGATAATGTTCGCACCATTAAACACTGTGAAAACAAACAAAAATCTGAAAATTATCGGAGTAGAAAAAAAATATCGATAGTATTTCCATTTGCTGCAATTACGGTCTCAACACGCTTCCGGAATGCTCGACAGGTTCTGATAATATAGTCCAGATCCATATCTTTCCAGGCGCGGGCAATGTTTGTCTGAGACTTGCTACACTGAAGTGGCGTTTGGCACAGGCCTTGTTGGCCTTCACGGCGCGCCGCACTGAATAATACAAGGGGTTAAGATCGGGGCTGAATGGTGGCCAGAACGGCAGATGTTCCTTCAGCTAATTCTGCGTGCGGTTCCAGGTGTGGTATGGTGCCCTTCCTTTGGTTTGTTTTTTCCGTCGATCTTGTTTTCCGTGCTGAGCACCAATGCCACCGACATGCCAGGAAGGCAGCTCCCACACCTGGACCCTACCTATCGACCCATCAACTCATGAACCGGGGACCAACGGCTTTACTTCCCATCCGAAGGAAGGCGTGATCAGAGATGTTATGCCTCAGAACATCCCGGCGGCGCCGACTGGGATTGAACCCAGGCCTGCTGGGGTGAAAGGTAATCACGCTTACCACTACACCACCGGCGCCGTTGGCATGATGCCCTGTCTGACTGTCTGAGACCACATTCGACTCCAGTCCATATTGCTCAGTAATCCACGACAGGACATACTTACTTTACTAAGACTGCCGATCTACACTTCCGTATTCACTTTATCCCCTTCATGAATGATGCAAACATTATCACGCATACGGCGGTACAGTGAAGAAATCAAAACGTCAAAATCCGGCATGTGGCTCAATAAGCTCGATCTAGCTGGATTACCAAGGTGAAGTAGCCGTTTTAATTGTGTGGCCAGGAAACTACCAAAGACGTTCCGAGTGCCAATGCTGCAGCAAAAGATCACGTTGGAGATGTCGCAAAGGTCTTCGTTTCTGTTGGCGAAGTAGGGACAGTTGTGACAGTTCAGGGAACGTTTTAGAACATCAAAGTACACTGGAGTCGCTTTTTACGCGGGTGATACGTCCCGCGTAAAAAAAAACCGCGTAAATTCCGGAATCCGCGTAAAAAAAAACCGCGTAAATTCCGAAATCCGCGTAAAAAAAGACCGTGTAAGAAAAAATCGCGTAAAAAGCGATATACCGCGTAAATTCTGAAATCCGCGTAAAAAAAACCGCGTAAATTCCGGAATCCGCGTAAAAAAAAACCGCGTAAATTCCGAAATCCGCGTAAAAAAAAACCGCGTAAAAAGCGACTCCAGTGTACTTCATATATCATTAGTTCAAGTAAATTCGTGGATGTTCAGAACATTTCGTTAAAGTTCAGGAAACTTTCTTGAAGTGCAAGAAATTCTGAAGAAGTTCTACAAACTTTGTAGAAGTTAATTGAACTTTATAGAATTTAAGAAAACTTTGTTAAAATTCAGTGGGCTTTATAGAAGTTCAGCTAAATTTTTAAAAATTCTGCGAACTCTGTAAGAGTGCTGAGAACTGTATAGAAGTTCAGTAATCTTTGTAAAGCTTCATTAGACTTTGTTGTAAAATAGCAAAGTTTAGAGGAGTTTAGTGAATTCTATAAAAAAAAACTACAAGGGGACAGCCCTATGGGGTTGTACGCAATGGTGACGTAGGACTACGCGGTCTTATATAATAAATCTTAATTGTTAACTGCAGCATGAGCGTGTGTTTTGTGTAGGAATAGGAATTTGAGCGGGGTTATCACTGTTTATACTCTTTAGTATGACGCGCTTGGCATAGATGGCCCACAGCGACTCACGAAGAGCTACTGATTCCGATCAATAGCGGTGCGGTTTCTTCCTCCTTCTGTGGATGCCCATGTGGGCTGGAACTGAATCCGATCAGCGGTTGAGGCCACCCTTGATAGCTAGCTACTTGCGGGAGAGCCTTTCGTTGTGTACTGGAGAACGCCAATGCCACCGCTCACCATGGGGTGATTGATTAAACACCGTTTGGTAAGACCGGATGGAATTCAACTTTGAAATCTGTGTTAGGGAAATCGTTCTTCGCAGACAATCGGTGATAATTTTAATTATCATAGCAACAGTTGCACATTCGTGCAATTTTCAACAGTGACATTTAAAAAATATGATAAAGTCTTAAATTTAATAAATGCGTAGAAATGTTTCTGATCGAATGGTGAAATTGGTCCAGTGGCAGCTGAGTTATTAACGTTCAAAATCTTTCATAATGATGTTACACGTTCTATTTTCGGTTAACTTCAGGGGCATCGTAGAAGTTTAGGAAACATAATAAAAATTCAGAAAATCTTATACAGGGTGGCCACTAAATCGTAAAATAATAGATTGGGATTGAGAAGAGAAGCATTAATAAACATCCTAAG